GGCAAAGTGTTGAAAGTTTTGTGATAAAACATTGAAAAAGAATATCGAAGCTGGGGGACCAAAAATGTCAACTCAGTCACCACCACCTTTTCTGCCACCAACTGTCATAATCATATATGATTACTCAGTCTGTGAACAGACATATATGTATAATCATTTATGATTACGCATACACTATTGTTGTCGGTACACTAGAACGTTAGAGCGGCAAATGAGAAATGTATAGCTCAGGTTGAACCTCAAGATCTTTATTTTTTTAATCTCAAGTGAACCGTCCCCTATATATGGGAAACGACGTTGAACAATTCAAGAACCAAAATTACTTATGCTTAAGAAAATCATTTGAAAAAAATGAACATCAGCATAATGGTCGATGATGTTTATTGGGCGACGACGATTAAATGGGAAATGATGTTGTGGCCGGCGGCTGAGAAAGGATTGTATGATGGAGGCGAGTCGTGAGGTGAATTAAAACAAAAAAAGTTTACATAAATATAGGTTCAATCAAACAAATTACCAATATTATAGGACTTTCATTTAAAATCAATTAACATTTATAAGTTATTTACCAAACTACCCTTATTTGATCAATTTATTGTTTATTTTTTTTTCTAAAATCTCATAGGTTCCTACAACCACATAATAATTGTCTATCCATATATGAACCTAGCTCTCTCTCTCTCTCTCTATATATATATATATATATATATATATATATATATATATATATATATATATATATGGCTATTGCATTTTCAGTGGATTAAAGATTTAACCATTTAAAGTGGATTGAAATAAAGGTAGGTTTTTGAAAAATTATAAGGTATGTCTCTAATTTTTTTGATATATACATTAGACTATTATTAAAAAAATAATATTCCAAGAAAAAACGAACGTGGACACCGAAAAACTTGTATATTCCGGGTGAGAATATACACCTTAGAATATTATAAGGTAGGTCATCCCACATTGATACACCCCTGTATATTTATATTTGGGGTGAGAAAAACCGAACTTGGAAATTGAAAAATCAAAATCGTGTTTGGGTTTGAGTTAATCAAAATCGAAAACTTTGTAAAAGATAAATCCGACAAAAACCGAACCAAACTGATTGTATTGAACTTTTAGTAATAATATATTTTTATACATACTGTAACATCCAAAAATTTTACACCAAATTTAAACTTTTTCAACCATAAACAAAAGTCAAATAGTATTGTTTACAAAAATGTTTCCAAATCAATATCCATCAGAGTGTCCCATAAACAGATCATAAGGATGAGGAGCGGTACGGTCACGCCTTCGCCTTGCCACGATCTCCTGAAGTACCTGAAACAATAAACTGAAAACTGTAAGCCCGAGGGCTTAGTGAGCTACCCCCAAAATACCAATACCACACTGACAATACCATGTCAGCAACAATCAGTCAATCACTCAATCAATCAATCAATCAATCAACATGCATACTGGGTCATCGGCCTGACTGGACCGCCCTACTGGGCCTACAGTCTATCTGAATCCATCCCGAGCCTTCGGCATGACTGGTCCGCCTCGTGGGCCTGCAGTCTCCCCGGACCGCTCATAGGGTATGTTGGCCTTCAACACAAAGCAGGACCGCCTCAACCCAACCAACAAGTAAATAACCATGTTCGCGTAACTATCACATACTGGCATATACAAACATCAATCATATCTGTCACACTGGTCATCAATCATAGAATCCTCTCGTAACGAGAGTACCGACCTAGCAGGTCACTAACATACCAATCCTTACGGATCATAAAAGCATAACATACTGTCTACCCTGATTCCGATCTAGCAGATCAAATTCATATGTAGCATACCATAACAATAACAATTAAAGGGCCAGCCTTGGTGCCGTAGACCCTATCGGTATAGTGAGGATAACTCACCTCGCAGATGTCGACTCGAAAGGTAAACTCCAACTCTCGGATCACTTGACCCAGGCTCCACCACCTATGACCACAGTACAATATACTCATAAGTCCTTAACTTTATAAGGTACTCCATAACCCACCAGTCAAACCCCTGGTCAAAGTCAAAGTCCTCCGTCAAGGTCAACAGTCCATGTTGACCCCAACTCGCCGAGTACCCTCGGCTACTCGCCGAGTTCCTTGAAGCACAATCCAACTCGCCGAGTCATCGGGGTGACTCGTCGAGTTGCTTCGATTCTCGTTCCAATTTTAAGGCCACCCGCCGAGTTCCCTCCTTGCAACTCGACGGATACACATGCATACATATCCTAGGGAAAACTCATCCGACTCGCCGAGTTGTTCTTCAACTCGTCGAGTCTTATGGTAATCTTCATCGGACTCGCCGAGTTGTTCATCCAACTCGTCGAGTCCACGACCATCTTCATGTGACTCGCCGAGTCAACTTTGCGACTCGCCGAGTCCATTCAGTCCCTTTTCCATACAGACTTGTTTTGAGCCATGCAGCGGCTCCAACTCACAAATCCAGGCTTCTAGGGCATGCTTATCACGTAAAGTTGCAAACTTTACGTGCATGCATGGCTATAAAGGCTCTAAATGCCTATTTTAAGTTCTTAATGGAACTTTATGCTCAAAAGGGACCTCAATCATGACCAAGACTGTAACTTTATGCTTATAGAATCCAAGGAGGGTCCAGATCTGAAGTCACAATCTCAGATCTAGCCCATAGCTCATCTTTCCAACTTAATGTCTCACCAAAAACCCTAAACTTCAACCAATAGAAGAGATTCACAAGGAAAATGTGATTTGGTTACCTCCAGGAGATGATAACTGAGATAAGAGTTGATTCCCACACTCTACTTGCTCCAATCTCCTTCTCCTCTAAGTCTTCTCCCTCCAAAGATCCTCTCTTCAAGCTTCAAACACACAATGGGCACGCACACACACGTATTTAGGGTTTTAAGGGCTCTCAAAGACTGTAAAGAGGCAAAAGGAGGCTGAGGTTCCTTTAAATAGGGGTGCAAACCCCGAAATTTAGGGTTTCATCTGCCAGCTCCTACTCGCCGAGTCCCAATATAGACTCGTCGAGTAGGTCACTTAACACGCGATCCTGCCCCGCTGCTACTCGACGAGTAGGTCAACCAACTCGTCGAGTAGAGCTTAACCCAAAACCTTATTTAAACCATACCTGAAAATCAGGGCGTTACACATACATTATACATAAATCAACACAAAGTGATTCTGAAGTACCAACTTTGTTGAACTGTTGAATCGGTAAGCATTGGACATGAGAATAAAAGGTCTAGAGTTTGAATCTCACCACCCCCACCCATTTGTTGCATCTTGATTTTTTATTTGACAGCCACTAATTCGTCCTACATCATCCATTACAGATAACATCCACCCTCTCCCGCTATTATAAGAGGTTCTGTGAGTCCCACATCAGCCATTGTATACAACATCAACCCATCTCGATTTTTTATTTGACAACCACTAATTCATCCCACATCGTCCATTGCACATATCATCCACCATCTTCAACTATTATAAAAAGGTTTTCTGAGTTCCACATCGGTCATTACATGCAACATCAATCCATCTTAATCTCTATCTAATGATTTATCAATGATTAAATTTGGCTATGATTGGGTTCGGGTTAAAAACTGAAATCAAACCGATAGTATCTAGAAACTGAAAATTTGAATCAATTGGTTTGGATACTGGGTTTGGTTTGGGATATTTGAAAACCGATGTCATCAGTTATAGGTCGAAACAGGGGCGGTTCCACTATGGTGCCCATAGTGGCACCGACAACCCCTGTTTTTTTCGGTCGCAATGTAAATTTTTTTGAATTTTTCGTTTTTTCTATTATTGTGTCACTACGTAAAAAAATAATAATATGCCATCGACAACACCTACTACGAAATTCCGCGTCCGCCCTTGAGTCGAAACTGACCCAAACTGACATATACTCACCCTAGTGTATATAGTTGAACCATTAAGAAACTTAATGGTTCAACTATATACACTAGGGTGAGTATATGTCAGTTTGGGTCAGTTTCGACCCAGGGGCGGACACAGAAGTTTAATATAATAAACTAAAATGATGTGGTTAGATGTATCCATGTTCTATATAATAATCATCTCTAATAAATAAATGATTTTTTGCCATATGTCACATTCTTATTCAATTTGTCAAATGTCATTTTTTGGTTATTTTGAATTAATTTTTTTTTAAATGTCATTTTATGGGTTTTCTTATGTTATTAAACTCCACATAATCTTTTAATATAATAATTACAATAAATGTAGTAATAAATGGATATCAATTTCATTAATGAACTTACATTCTAATTTTAAAATTTCTAAATTAAAGCTCATTAGATTATTTTGTTTATTTATTTAAATTTAAAAGATAAAAAATATTTCCATTATAATAATTCATTATTTTTCTTATTTTCTTATAAATTCAAAGTTCTCAAATATTTTAAAATGTATATTTATTTATTTTTTTAAATTAACTCATGTAATACATGTGTCTGACAACTAGTACATATACAAGACCATAACAATGAGATTAAGGTGCTGTTTGTTTTTTTCGAAGCGAAAATGTCTTAAGTCTGCGGACCACCTCTGCAATCCTCTGTAGCAGAAGAGATGGAACAAAAGGCTGCATCATTTAATAAAAAGTCTGTTTGTTTTTTAACGTCCGCAGACTGCTGCAGTAAGTTAAAGTAAGGCGCGAAGAGGTTTGAAACAGTTGGTTTAGTACGTAGCACACGCGCAACAGTTTTTAAGTCAGAAGTCTTCAGGAAAACAAACAGCTGCGAAAGACCAAGTGTTGCGCGTATGCTGCGGTGCGCAACAATAAGTGGTCTGAAGTTATTTTTTTAAAAAAACAAACAGCACCTAAGATAGCACAACACAAGTATGTGATCTTAAGTTACGATTCTACTTCATAACAAGTTGTAAAGAATTAAAATTCATATGACAACATAGAAAAGCCCATCGATGGCATTGTTGTAAATAGAAGGAAAAAAAGGTGCAATGAGTTTTGTAGAAGAAAAGGAAGTCGCTGGAGGCCAAATCCCTACCACCAAAATACCGCTGGCCATCTCTCTCACTCTCGCTTTCTATCCGTAGACAACGCAAATTTTTTTATTATTCGAAACGAAGAATCAGAGAAGAAAATTCAAATTTCTCCCCAAATTTCAAAAATCCAAACAAACTTCAAGCTTCAAAAATCAAAACAAATCAACCATCGAAAACCCTAGTTTTTCATTTTATTCATCTTTGGTTGGTTTTTTAATCCCGCTGTTAGGGTTTGCAGATCAATCAACAATGACAGCGCCTCTTTGGCATTAAGTATACGTGCTCTCGATTCTTCTTAAGCTCAGAGAAAGGTACGTTTACGGTTTACATGCATTACTCTATATTTCTGATGAATAATTTTCCATTTTAATGTGATTTTGATTTTGTCTCCAAAACTTTGTATCGATTTGGTAAATGGAGTGGTCTATATGATTCGATTCGACTTTTCGAGTGAAATGTGATGTGAGTTTTGTTTTTTAAAATTAGGTTTTTATGGTTCTCATGTTTCAGATCTGTTGACATGAACACGTTTTCGTGAGATTTTTTTCTCCGTCTCTCATCTTTCTCCTTTTGCCGTATCCGACAAATCAACGTCTTCTCAGTCCTTTTTCGAAACAAATTTGAAATTGATGGCTATATTGCACTCTGTTCTTTTTGTTTGATTATTTCTACCGTAACATTTGTAAACCAATTATCTTGTTGCGTTGATGCTTCTCGAGTGAAACGTGTTAAAGGGAAAAAACGAACCACACCTGGCCCCAATAGTTGTCGGTGGGACATGTATGAACAGTTCGTGTATATTACGTGTTGGTCACCAACTTTATGGTTCAAAATTTATGACCTCTCCCATTTCGTAGGGATTTGCGACACCTCATAACCACTTTAACGAGTGTAACTTGTATATCTGTATCTAATTTTCTGTCTTCTTCATTCATTCATCAGCTTTGAGCTATTATTCTTCAACCTTGGTGGCTCTTTTCGGAGTTGGAACTATATTTGAGAGAAATACACATCAGAATCTGCAAATCATGGTTGCTACAGCTGCAACTGCATCTTTGTTTCCGATTTCTTCCTCACAACCTGAATCTGGTGGCAAGAATTCCAGTAAGCATGGAGGTGGTTTGGGTAGTGTTGATATGCATGGAATGAAGACAAAATCCCGGGGTTTACAAGTTAAGACTAATGCACAGGCTCCTACAAAGGTAAATGGTACTAGAATAGGTGTCATGGATGGGCTCAACCTGAAGAATGATGATAATCCAACATCAACTGCTCCAAGAACTTTTATCAATCAATTGCCTGATTGGAGCATGCTACTTGCTGCTATTACAACCATTTTCTTGGCTGCTGAGAAGCAATGGATGATGCTAGATTGGAAAACTAAACGCCCTGACATGCTTTCGGATCTTGATCCTTTTGGTTTAGGTAGAATGGTTGAAGATGGGTTTGTTTTTCGTCAAAACTTTTCTATTAGATCTTATGAAATAGGGGCTGATCGAACTGCATCAGTAGAAACGTTAATGAATCATTTGCAGGTATCAATAGATTTCCCATACTCACTTCTGTGTGATTTTACTAAACTACCCTTTGTGTTGATTTGGCAGGAAACAGCTCTTAATCATGTAAAACATGTTGGACTCTTGGGTGATGGGTTTGGTTCGACTCCTGAGATGTGTAAAAAGAATTTATTTTGGGTGGTGACAAAGATGCAAGTTCTGGTAGATCGTTATCCCACTTGGTAAGCTATAAATTCTATTTATCTATGTGATAATTCTGACACTTTTACCCTTATCTATTTTTACACATTCAAATTAATTTCAGGGGCGATATGGTCCAAGTAGATACATGGGTAGCTGCTTCTGGAAAAAACGGTATGCGACGTGATTGGATGATACGCGATTATAAAACTGGAGAAATACTAACAAGAGCTTCAAGGTTGGAACTTTAACAAAAAATTTCCCCCTTTTTTGCCTTTTGTAAATTTGGTTAATGATTTTAATTAAAAGGGTGTCTTGTTTTATATTTTTTAGCAATTGGGTGATGATGAATAAAGTTACAAGGAGGTTGTCTAAAATACCTGATGAAGTCCGAGCTGAAATTGTGCAATTCTTTGTAGACACTCCTCCTCTTGTTGATGATGACAACATTAAGTTGCCAAAATTCGATGACAATACTGCTGACCATGTTCGTAATGGTCTAACTGTAAGTAAAGTTTCATCTTTTTTATCTCTTTATAAATTAGGTGACATGATTTTTGAAATGTTTTATTTTTGAAAAATATTGTATAGCCAAAGTGGAGTGATTTGGATGTGAATCAGCATGTCAACAATGTGAAATATGTTGGCTGGATTCTTGAGGTATAAGTCTTATCTTATTATTTTGATCTGATAAATTAGGTTTTCATTTTCTTGTTTGATTTACGTTTTTACCCTTGCAGAGTGCTCCACAGCCTGTAGTGGAGAATTATGAGCTGGCAAGCATGACTTTGGAGTACAGGCGGGAGTGTATGAAGGACAGTGTGCTGCAGTCACTCACGTCCTTATTGGGAAATGACGAAAACGGGTCTGGTGATCTGAATCTTGTTGATTGTCAGCATCTGCTTCGATTAGAAGGAGGTGGGGGCGAAATTGTCAAAGGAAGAACAAAGTGGAGACCAAAATATGCAAACAGATTGAGTGGGTAGGTAAGTGGCATTATGGTCATTTTGGTATTGATACTTGTGTTGTTGCAAATTTATTTGCAATGTTTTGACCTCTCGTCTATATATAATATATATATATTGGGTTGGAAAGTGTAAGAATTAAGAAGCCTGTTGTAAGTAAGCCCTTCCTCTTTATGAACAAAACTATCTCTTTGGATTTGCTTATTTGGATTGGATGTGGCAATTCTTTATTATTTTATAATCACATGTTTCTTTGTGCCGGTGGTTGCTGTTTATTTTTTTTTTGACTTAATGGGCTTAATAGTTTAAGCACGAACATAATGATGTTATAGGTTAACCCGAAAAAAAAAACATGGCTTGATGCGTTTTTTTTTAATCCAAACTAATGTTAAAAATGTTGAATATTGTGATTTTTTTGAAATGCATGGGTAAAATGGTCATTTTGGATATATATATATATATATATATATATACTGACATTATTAGTCATTCAGCACATTATCCGTACATACAGTCATTATACTAAGCAGATAATTGCTACAATGAAAGCTATAAGGATGCATTTTTTTAATCAATGTATTTGTTAACGTGTCGAAATGCTGTTAAGGTATGTGATGCTGATTTCAACTGTTATGATAGTTTTATTATTATTATTATTAATTGAGTGACCTCTAAAATCTGACAAAACCGTTGATTTATTTGGAAGTTAGGTGGCTATTTTTGAACAAATACGTCGACAGTCTACCATAAAACTATTTTATTTATTAAAAAAGTTTAGTTACTTCGAATTCGTATAAATGTTATGATAATAATAGTTTTATTAAACCTTGTAGTGTTGTTTTATCTATACAGTTTTAATTACACACTTTGAGTGTCTTGTTATACTCTTTTAATCTCTTAGGGAGGAGGAGTCATTCCCTCCCAACCCACTGAACCCACTCCCACATTACTTTTTCTCTTTTATTTTTCTTCATCTTTCCGAACCCACAACACACATAAATCCTATCTTTTTTGAACCCACTCAATTAAAAAAAATACAAACAATCAAATGTAAAATCTTAATTAGAAATAGAGTTATTGGCGGTACTACTCCCGCTTCAACGAGTGAGTTGATTGGTTTCACTAACCCACTTTATCATCTCTTTTTACTTTCTCTTTCTTATTTTCTCTTGTACCATGTGTTTTAAAATTTGTACCTTAGTTGTTTTGTATTTTTTTTAATTGAGTGAGTTCAAAAAGATACGATTTCCATGTGTTGTGGGTTCGGAAAGATGAAGAAAAATAAAAGAGAAAAATTGATGTGGCAGTGGGTTCGGTGGGTTGGGAGGGAACGACTCCCTCATCCCTTAGAAAGGATCAACTTTTTAGCTTTAGTTGGGGAATATTCAATAAAACACAATGAAACCGTTTGGACCGGGAACCGGAGACGATAGTGGTTCAGTAATGATCCGTTTTATGTCATTTCTAAACTGATAAATTGAACAAGGTTTATTGGACTTTTATAGTTGAATTTCATTTAGCCCGATGAAAAAACAACTTATTTTCAAAACAAATTGAACATTTTCGGAGTTTATACAACTCGAAGGCTGATGCATATCACCATGAGGGTGGAAAAATTCTTGGTTGAATTGCGATCGAACCATTCACCAAATCAGTTCAACTAAAAAGCTGATTATTAAAAATTGGTAAACTAGCAACATGCTTTTAAAGATGTTTGGTTATTGTCATTTAAGATCGGCCATCGAATTTTTAACAATTTTCCCAAATTTTCGAATTTTAATTTAATATAGGAAAGACATTGGAGTGGATGAAATTTAATTTTATTTGTTTTTAGTGCATCAATGTGCAAGTGTCATGTGCACGTGTTGGGTGTGGGTTACCTAGTCATTATCTGTCTTATTGCCAGGACAAAAACAATCAATATAGGTTGGCTTGGCTATATTTATGATGAAGATATGTTAACGTTGAAGTTTGAACTATTTAAATATAAGTATAAAATAATCGAATTGTGTACTCCAAATGGATCACAGGAATATAGGATATACAGTTATACACAGGAAAAAAAGTTTAGCTAAAGAGCATATCATGTCAAATAGGTAAGGGCAATATAATAAAAAATCATTATATTTTGCTTTTTTATAGTTTAATTCATATATTTTATTTCAGCAAATTATTTTTAATAGAAATTTCCACCGTTAGACCATTAGAACCCCTTTTCAGTTTATCATTGATAAAACTAACATGACTTTTTATTAATCTACTGACACGTACTTCCTAAAAGCTATTTTAAGAAGCAAAATGCTATTTATTCCCTTTTCTAAAACTTACCCTTTTACCGTGTTATGTTAGATAATTGGTCAATTTTAATTCCCTTTGTTAAAATATTAGGTAATATGACTAATATTTTAGTTTTCTTTCACATGAAAAACATATGATTTCTAAATGCACATATATAGTACCCATTAAGATGTCGATGGTGGAATCAACTTTAACTTCTTCAAATTCTTCAGGTAGATTTAAACCACTTGGAGGAAAAAAAAACATCTTACGCGTATCATGAACATCATGTTTATGTACATCTAAAGTCAGAGGATCACAAGGACACTCAACTTACATGTCGCGATGCTTTGTTTAATTCAAGATGAATGGATAAAGTTGCTATGCCCTACAATGTTTAATGCAATTTGCAACGATTTCGATTTGAATGAACAAATTTTTGAGGCTCGATTTTAGCTTAATGTACATTTCGTTAGGCTACGCATGTGATTTTGGAACAAAAATGAAATTTTTTCTAGGGTTTTAAAAGAATAAATTCTAAAGAGGGAACGATCTTTAATCTTACGATCATAGCTAGGATCCCAATTCAGATCTTAACAACAATGACTCAAACAACCGATTAATTGTTTTAACTTAATAAATCAAACAATCTATTAAACATCTCGGTTTCTAAATTTTACATAATAAATCTAGTGAAAATATTGTTTTACATTCATTGCTAGTTATTTGGGGATGAAATAGGCTTTTTTTTTTCCGAGCATCAAACTTGAGTATTGTGTAAATTTCATTTTCCGTTTGTACGTAACAAACATAAACTCATAAAAGCCATAACGGAGTTGCAAAAATTAACATGATATGTGAATGAAGAAAGGTGCAACATGAATAATGGCATTATGGCAATATTTGGCAGATTAAAAGGGTAAAATTGTACATTCAGAAGATATATAAGCAGATGAAAGAGGTAAGCACTGAAGTTAAGAATACCGATACGAGATTCACACCATTGTTGTCAAGTATACTGAGCCCCGAGATCCTCTTCACTGTGGGTCCCGGTTTCGATACAACCTAACAAGACAAAACAAAGTATAATGCTTTAACCAATCACTACATAAGACGGATAAATGACTAAATCAATAAAATGATGAAAGTACAGTATAGGACAGACAGAACAGAACAGAACAGAACAGGTTGTACTGCATTTTATGTACTTTGGACCAAGAAAAGTAAATACCTTGTTACGAACACTGCAGAAACCACTAAATTGCAGAGTTGCTCCTAAAATGGAATCGATTAAGCTTCCTGCAAGTCCTGCTATAGCAGAAAGAGGTATGACAAATAGCTGCTTAAAGAAGGCATCATTGGTGCAACTTTTTGTGAAAAATCCTGGTAAAATAAATGCTAATCCAATCACACTTCCTGCTGCTGCAGCTGCTTCAAGTCCGGCTTTTGTTATTCCACCATTTGTACCCCTACGAACAGGCTGTTAAACAAGAATCATTCAAATGGATCAATTCATGGAAAGTTTGGGAAGATTTTCAATTTATAACAAAAAGTTACCAATTTGTTGCTATAAATTGGTAAGAACATGAGAGATTTACATTCATGAAAGAAAAAAAAGTTCTCACCCTAAATGTAGTAATCAACCGAGGCTGTTCATCACTGAGTACTCCAAGCTCAGAGGACCAAGTGTCTCCATTGCAGCATGAGTAATGACCAATCAGGCCACCAACAAGAGCTGTTATAATCTTTGATTCTTTTGAGTCCAAACAGGTATCCTGTGATGTTGTCAACCCCCAAAATGCTATAACCAAAACTGAAGCAATTCCACCATTGGATAGAACTTGTATCCTGTATAGAAACAAGGGCCACAGACATAAGCATGAACCTCAAGTAGATACACAATCAACAAGAATGCTTGAGATAAGAAACATCTCAAGTAATTTGGAAACTGAGGATGTGTAATTGTGGAGTAATGCATTGGGAAACAATTTGCGAAGCATAATTCTGCAATTTCTGATTTCTGAAATTAGGGCTCTACTTGCTACTAGTTAAGAAGTCAATCTCGAACAGAAACTCACTTAACAAACTAAAGTAATCTTTATCCTTTGGCATAATCGGAGGTAACGATAAATACATTTGGAATAACGATAACAAGCATACAATCGTTAGGGCAAAACTTGACGAAAATGATAATTAAACATAGAAACAGTACCAATTTCGTTGACCTCCTTCCTTGAAATCAGCATCCAGAGTCCGCTTTCTATCCTCCCCCATTTTAGTAAGCTTCGACGATGTGAAGAAGAAAGCCAACAACATCGCTCCAAATCTACCAAGACAACAAAATTACGGACGCGCACAGACTACTATACACAAATTTGAAATCAAATTAACCTGTAATTGACGGAGAGATGAACAGCCATGACAAAGAAACCGGCGAATGCGCCTGAAACATCGAGAGAGTTTTTCCTGTAAGCTCTAAGGGCGATTAGGGATGAGATTAGCACCGCGATCATCACTTGAATCAATTGATCCTCCATTTGTGAACTGATTTTGCCCTAGAACATTAGCCTTGGACCTAACCAGAAATCCACAGAAACAATCGCTGGTGTTTCTGATGAAAACACAGGGAGATTGTGGAATAAAGTTTTGTCGTTTTGGGCAGTTGGGTACGTGCAGTCAACAAAGTTCGCTACATTAGTCAACTTGGTCATGCCAATTAAGTAATTGAAAATTGTACCATAAGATAAATTTGTATTTATTAATATAGTATAATAAAATATAATACATTATATATAAGCATATAAACATAAAAACTAATTGACCACTTATACCACAAATATTAAATCTAAATCTTTTATTTGAATAAATAATATTTGAATTATTCTTACTTTTGCTTTTACGAAATGAAAAACATCCGTTTTTCAAAAAAATGACAA